GTACTGAGCTAGAGTTGTGTCTGTCTGCTCCCTTAAATATTGTTAGCCTAAGGGATGTGATTTTCAGGTTCAGTCTAACTTCTGATCATTAGGGGAAGCAAGACCCCAAGCTTTATATTGAAGGGTTGACCCCTTTGCCACCAAATCCCAATTCGACAATGAAAACAAGAGTACTTAGCCAAGATGTCCATTTATCCAAATCAGAAGCAAACTACAAGTCAGGAGTACACAGAGTCTCAATATACCAGACCCTACAGAATGAAAGAACTCTCCCAGTAGGATCAAGGTAGCTCAGTTCGACCAAGAGACAAAACCTGAGAGCTCACCCAAGGGGAGGTTCCCCAGTCTCTAGTGCAGCAAGCTGGGGATAGGGTCATGCCAGACACTACCAGCTCATCTTGTGTTGGTTTCTTCCCAGAGTTTTTTACTTCAGCAACCTGAAATCTACCATCTTCTCTCTTGAAATGGGAAGCCAGAAGCATCCGAAGCAACGTGAAGAAAATTTACAAAAAAGCCTGGAGCCCTCCTGTTCTCCCCAGCTCCACCTTGCCCCTCATGCAGGTCAGCATGTCCATCTCCACCAGCCAGGAGAAAGTTGCACAGCCACGGCTTGCACCATCACTTCGTAATGAAGATGGCCCATCGCCCTTGGCCCAAGGGCCCCGAAAGTAGCCGTGATTCCAACCCTATGCTCACAGCTATCATCCTGGGAAGCCACCCCTTCTGAGGTGCAGCCTGGTGACTGTTCCTGTAGGAGCTATAGACACAGCTGTTGAAGACTCAGAGCAGAACAAAAATGCTAGTTCTCTATCAGAAACTTCTCTCATTTCATCAGTGAAGATGAGGCCTGATCATCTGTTCTGCTGCTGTACACTAGGGACCATGGGAGCTTTCCCTCTGACTTGCAACTGAAATCTTCCCTATGTGTTGTATCCCCCATTAGAACATGAGCTCCCGGAGGGCAGGGTCTGTCTTACTTTTCTGTTTGTACCTCTAGCAGTGAGCCTAGTGCTCTGCACATAGTAAGTGCTTAATAAATGCCTTTTTGCTTTCATTCATTCATTCATTCACAGTGGAAGGGGCAGATACAGAGTGGGGGCATTGAGGACGGGAAGTAGGGGAGCTGGCCCTGGGGGACTGGGTTTGTACATTGGTCGCTGGGGACTTCAGAATCTCTGGGATAAGGAGAATGTAGGGGGTAGGAATATGCTACTCACAGGGGGGTTTGTCTAAGCAGAGTATTAGTGGTTATGTGCAGTTCATTAAAGGAGGAATGGTTTGAATGTTGTGTGAAGTCCAGTCTCATGGTAGGTAATGATATGGTGCCCTACGAGGCCCCTGGAGGCCTTCAATTCAACAGACATTTATTAAGTGCCTACTATGTGCTAGGCACCATACTAAGCCTTGGGGACACAAATAAGAAAAAGAAAGACAATTCTTTCCCTCAAGGAACTTACAATCTAATGAGGGAAGACAACTAATGAAAGGAAGCTGGAAAGGTGGAGTGAAAGCTAGGGGTACCCTGCTCAGGAGCATCTGGTTCTATGGAGTTGAAACCAGCTGCCGAAGTACAGTGAAGTGAATGGATGGTAATTTCTGTCCAGGCAAGACCAAGCAGAGGTATGAGAGTCTGGTCAGGAGGACATGGTACCTTGCTTGCCCTGTGATGGAGGAGATACGGTGCAGAATCTACGTAGGTTCTCCATGTGTTCCTCTTTTCCAGCGACATCGAGCCTCAAGATGCTGAAGAAGAAGAAACCTGTAATCTCTCAAAAGAATCTGGCATGACCATACACATAAGGAATACTAAGTGGATGAAGATTGTCTATTACACACATGTCAGCATGCATTTGGATGGATGCCCTGTCAGTCAAAAAACAACAACAACAACAAACTTTTATTAAGTGCCTACTATGTGTGAGGTACTGTGCTAAGTGCTAGGGATACAAATACAAAAAAAAGGAAAAAAGATCCCTGTCCTCAAGGAGCTTATAGTCTAAAACAGAGGAAGACACAAAAAAGGACCAGAAAAGGGGAGAAGGGAGAAGGGAGAAAAAGGAACTGGGGGAGGTATCCAAAGTGGGGGCATGGTGGAAAAAGTAGAGAAGTCAAGAAGTCCCAAAGCAATGCAGCCAGGGCAGAAATTGAGGAGATGTCTGAGCTGAACTCTCTCCTTAAGTGGAGGTTTTAGAGTTCCAGGCTCCAATCATTCAATCAATCAATCAATTAGTCAACTTCTATTCAGGCCTACACGGTGTCAGGTGCTAAGTGCCATGCTCCACCCTTGAATCAGAGGGACCAGGCTAGTGATGAGTAGAATCCCAAGGCTATTGAGATTTTACAAGACAAGTTTCCCCAACAATGAGCCTCCTGGGGCCCAAGGACAAATCAAAGAAGTCCTGGAGTGGTGCAGCTGAGTGAGAAATGAGGACCCCACACAACCGGTCCAACCTTACAAATGGTACAAAGAGACAAGGAGCTGGGCCCAGAGTTGAAAAGGTGGGGAGAGAGACCTGGATTGTTTGGGAGAGTTTGCAAAGATCTCTTTACTGAACTCAGCCAGGGTCTATCTTTCCCCTACTAACATCGAAAAGTGCTGCTGCTACATGGCAATGAGATGTATGCATGCATCTTTGGAGATGGTGGATGTAAGCAGGCTATAACATGTGACCAATATCTGAAGAACAGGAATAAAGGAAGCCTTGGAGGTATTGTATGACGTGAAGAGAAGGTGGGCTTGTCACATGGCAAGTGGACATCCAGGTCCCATCCACTGGTACCCTGGAGATGTGGGGAGAAAGCAAGGGAGGCCTCCAGCAGGTTGAGTGGAGCCCCTGCCCTGTGGCAGACTTTGACTGAGTAAAGCACGTATGAAGTGTTTACTGTGTTCCTAGCACTATGCCAGGTGCTAGAGATGTAATGGTAAAGTGAGATGGTGCTCAGAGTTACCTTTTAATGGGGAGAGAACATATAGGGAAAGTCGTGGCTTCAAGTTCCATGGTGTTTAGGGTGCAAAGACTCTTCTTTAATGTCATCATTTAATGATTTAATGTCACCCGCCCTAGGGCTCTCAGGATCAGGGTCCTGGGCTGTCTCCACCAGGGTCTGAGGGAACGTGGTGGTCAGAGTGGTGAGAGGGATGATCTGCCTTGCCTGGCACCTGCTGCCTCCTCTCTCCCTCACAGTGCTTTGCTGCTCCAGCTGGGCCAGCTTGCTTGGCACTGAATAGAGATGACTGGCCCTGTCTCCACAGGAGTTGCTTCCTTGGAGGGTGCTTGGCTGGGCCGGGCTTAAAGTGGGAATGAATAGGGGTCCAGGGGATACTGCCATACCTAGGGCTCCTGCCCCTCTCCTTTGAGACACTATGGACAAGAATGGTCAGGTAGGGCAGCCATGGAGAGGAGGCGATCTGTTCGGTTGGAGGGGAGATCTCAGATCCCTTTGAATATTTGAGAAATAAGAATTGTTCATGTTCACAGGTTTACAAGTGAAGAAATGGAAGGGACCCCTAGCCTAGAACATGGGCCACTAAACCATACTGATGGGTCCCTGGGGTGGGGGCAGCATATTGACCTGCACTTTATCTGTGTTGGATTAGAATTTTATTAAATATTTCCCAATGACATTTTTACCTGATTCAAGTACGGTCCAACATTATCATTCCACAGAGGAAGTAACTGAGTGAAAGAGAGGTTAGGTGATTTGTCCAGGCAGAATTTGAATTCAGGTTCTCTGATTCCAAAACCAGTGCTTTCTCCCTCATACCACAAGCCTCCAGGCTTCAGGATGAAATGAAGATCTCCCATCTTGTCTCACACTTTTCTGCCATCTCTTTGGTTTGTGTAATTGTGGGTATGCCTATTTCTGGAGGGTGCTTTATTGAAGATACTGTCAACAAGAAACCAGGGAGAGGGGAAGAGGCTGAAGGACTGGACAGCTCCGTCTGCCCCTCACCCCCATCTGTCCCATCCTTCCTTTCACCTCCCTTCCTTCCCCTTTTCTTGTTTGGAGGGACATCTGCCCTCTCTGCCCTCCTTAGAAACAGATCCTTCCTCCAATCCTCCACTCCTCCACTCCTCCACTCCTCCCACGCCTAATCGCTTCTAAGGGAGGACAGTTTCTGGCCCCTCAGTGGTGAAATGGAGACAGGGCTGGGCCTGGGTCAGGAAGACCTGAGCTCAGCTTTGCTCTCAGATACAGTATTTCCAAGTTCTGGCCCGTGACCCCTGTCCTCTCTTAGGATCAAGTGATAGCATAGGTGCAAAGTGCTGGGCAGACTTCAAAGCCCTTGACGTGTTAGTTATGATTTCCCTTTCTCTCCTGCCCTGCCCTTTCCCCTCCTCCTCTCAATCTTTCCTTTTCCTCCTTTCTCTCTTCCCTGCTCCTCTCTCCTCCTCCCACCCCTTCCCTCCCCTTCCCACTGCTCTCCCTTCTCCTCCTCCCACCTCTCCCCCTCCCTTTCTCCTCCTCCCACCCCTCTCTCTTCTTCTTCTTTTCTCTCCCTCCCTCCTTTTTTTCTTTCCCCCTTCCCCTCTTCTCTCCCTCTCTTTCCCCTTCCCCTCTCTCTCCCCCTTCTCTCCTTCCCACCCTCCCCCTTCCCCTCCTCTTCTCTCCCTCTTT